TGTGGCTGTGTGTGTGGGGGGGTGTACATACATGCACACATGCACAAATGTGTGGGGAGCAGAGTAGGCACAACAACACTTTTTACATGACTGGCTCTATGGAGTCTATGACGTGTCCCAATGATAGAAGGACATGGAGGGGCTGGAGAGATGGCTCAGTGGTCTAAAGCACCTACTTAGAATAAGCTTAGCAAAAGCATCAGGGACTGCGGTTCAATCCCCCAGCACCACATGCCAGCCAGCCCTGCCCCCTGGTGGGCTGAGCTGGCCTCTCTCTCTCTCTCTCTCTCTCTCTCTCTCAAATAAATAAATAAATAAATAAAATAAAATAAAAAAAAAAGAAGGACATGGAGCACAGTTTCCTCATCTTGTTGGCTGATGAGGAAACTGAGGCATAAAGCCTTGGTGACCCAGCTCAGGGTTGTATCAGGAACAGGTAGGCCTGAGATTGGAAGGGCCATACATGGACGCTTTCACTGAATTGTGTCACATACATCCCTAGGTGCTCACTGATTGCTTGTCCAGAGACACACTGTGACAAGCTTACCCAGAGATGATTTGAAGTTTAAGCTTTATTTTCACAGCAGCAAAGAAACTGCTGCTGTGATTACTGTCAGGAAGAATCTGGACTGTGAGGTCAGGTGAGAATGCATTAGCTCAAATGAACTGCTTTCACTGGGCATGGTCATGCATATATATAAATGCAAGCACTTAGGAGGTTGAGGCAGGAGGACCACTGCAAGTTTGAGGCCAGCCTGAACTATATAGCAAGACACTGTCTCAAAAATAAGTAAACAAACAAAGAAATAATAAAGAACTACACTCACAGTGAGGAACCAACTGCCACTTGTGGGGAATTTTCTCACTGAGTAGGGAGAGCAATAAATTCACTTTGGTTCCAGAGCCACTGGGGTTGACAGTGAACCTCAGAGACAAAATAGTTTGGGGGCTGGGCTCTTCCACTCACTCTACCAAAGGATCAGTTTCATCTTACTCCCTCTTCAAGTCTTTGCTGGAAGCATTGTGTTCTCTCCCAGAGTCTTGTCTTGCCTTGGAGAAGCAGCTTCTGAGATCAGAGGCCCCTTGGGTCGAGCTTGGCCCTGCCCTGGGCAGAGATAAACAGGCCAGGAATCCATTTCCCAGATTGCAACAGCAGTGAGTCAGGCAGGGTCGACAGCCGGTCCCTCCCAAGCACCCCTTGGTTGTACCCGATAAGGAAGAATCACTCATTCCAGTGCTGTCTCTGGAGTGCACATACATAAACAGACACGCCCAGGCCCGCCTCATCTGAGAGTCAATTATTGACCTTCCAAATGGCTGGCACAGTGGAAAGGAGGACAGCAAACTACCTCTGCTCAAGAGGTGCTCCAGTGTTCTTAAAGAAAACCAGGGCTATCCTTGGGCTTTGCTCTGGGATCAACTTTTTTTTTTTTTTTTTTTTTTTTTTGGAGACAGTGTCTCACCATACAGTTCAGGCTGGGCTTGAATTCACTTTGTAG